CTCTGGTTTTTAGAATTTTTAGCTTTTCTGCTCTGGTTTCTCCCCATCTTTGTTGTTTTATCTACCTTTGGTCTTTGATGTTGGTCACCTACAGGTGGGGTTTTGGTGTGGATGTCCTTTTTGTTGATGTTGATGCTATTCCTTTCTGTTTGTTAGTTTTCCTTCTAACAGGTCCCTCAGCTGCAGGTCTGTTGGAGTTTGCTGGAAGTCCACTGCACACCCTGTTTGCCTGGGTATCACCAGCGGAAGCTGCAGAACAGCAAATATTGCTGCCTAATCCTTCCTCTGGAAGCTTTGTTCCAGATGGGCACCCACCTGTATGAGGTGTCAGTCGGCCCCTACTGGGAGGTGTCTCCCAGTTAGGCTACATGTGGGTTAGGGACCTACTTGAGGCGGCAGTCTGCCCATTCTCAGAGCTCAAACACCATGCTGGGAGAACCACTGCTCTCTTCAGAGCTGTCAGACAGGGACGTGTAAGTCTGCGGAAGTTTCTGCTGCCTTTTGTTCAGCTGTGCCCTGCCCTCAGAGGTGGAGTCTACAAAGGCAGCAAGCCTTGCAGCTCTGCAGTGGGCTCCACCCATTTCAAGCTTCCCGACCCATTTGTTTACCTACTCAAGCCTCAGGTATGGCAGATGCCCCCCTTCACCCTGCTGGCCTGCTGCCTCACAGGTCGATCTCAGACTACTGCACTAGCAGTGGCAGTGAGCAAGTCTCCGTGGGCATGGGACCCACTGAGCCAGGTATGGGATATAATCTCCTGGTGTACTGTTTGCTACGACCATTAGAAAAGTGCAGTATTTGAGTAGGAGTGTCCTGTTTTTCCAGGTACAGTCTGTCACGGCTTCCCTTGGCTAGGAAAGGGAAATCCCTCAACCCCTTGTGCTTCTGGGGTGAGGCAACGCCCTGCCCTGCTTCCACTCACCCTCTGTGGGCTGAACCCATTGTCCAACCAGTCCCAATGAGATGAACCAGGTACCTCAGTTGGAAATGCAGAAATCAGCCATTTTCTGCATTGATCATACTGGGAGCTGCAGACCAGAGCTGTTCCTATTTGGCCATCTTGAAATGGACCCTCCCCCTCTATTCTTATAAGGACACCAGTCAGATTGGATTAGAGCCCCACCCTTATGACATCATTTAATCTTCATTCCCTCCTTACAGGTGCTATCTCCAAATGCAGTGGCACTGGGGGCTAGGGCTTCAACATACAAATTTTTAGGGGACAAAATGCAAAAGTATACTGTTCCCAGAGGGGCTCAAATGTGAACAAAAGAAAAACTATGCCCATACTTTTTTCTTTTTTTCTAAACTGTCAATTAATTACTTTATTTCATATAAAAGTTATATTGAGGCCAGGCGCCGGGGTTCATGCCTGTAATCTCAGCACTTTGGGAGACCCGAGGCGGGTGGATCACAAGGTCAGGAGATCGAGACCATCCTGACTAACACAGTGAAACCTTGTCTCTACTAAAAATACAAAAACAAAATTAGCCAAGCGTGGTGGTGGGTGCCTGTAGTTCCAGCTACTTGGGAGGCTGAGGCAGGAGAATGACATGAACCCGGGAGGTGGAGCCTGCAGTAAGCCGATATCGTGACACTGCACTCCAGCCTGGGTGATAGAGTGAGACTCCGTCTTGAAAAAAAAAAAAGTTACATTGAAAGAAGAGGTTGAAAAGTCACGTATACTTGATTTGCACACACTTGCCAAGTCTCACAGGATTCAACCACTTGGATAATTTTTTAAATTGATAACAGGATATACATATTTAAAGCCTCACTGAAGTCCAATACCCATGTCCAACCCAGACAATGATGTGCAAATGAATATGCAAAACAATCTCTGGAAACTCGTTTCTCCAGGATCACCCACGATCCATGTTTTGTCCCTCTGGCTGTGATGCAATTCTTCTCCCAAAGGCGTACATGCTTCTGCGGTGACAGAGTCCACTACCAAACCCCTGCAGGTTTACTCACTTAGCTAAGATGTTGGCTCAAGTAGGCCCCTTTGTGGTTTTTCATCAGCAGTGGTGGAAGCCCTAATTCGGATAGGGTAGAGAGTAATTAGAAACAAAAACAAAACAGTTCACAGATGAACAGAAGGCAAAACAGTTCCCAGGAGGGAGACACCAACTTCTCTTAGCGTGGACGGCAGGCTTAAAGGAAGAGCCTCAGAATTTGTCACAGATTGCTTCTTGATGCATCCAGCAAAAAATGTACAAACCAGGCCAGTTTAAGGCAAGTCCCCGAGGAGGGGAGCTCTTTGCTTTCTGGCATAATTTTAAGCTCTGCACCAAGGATTCTGTTTTTTTCATTTTTATTTTGAGACAGAGTCTCACTCTGTTGCCCAGGCTGCTGTACAGTGGCTCAATCTCTGGCTCACTGCAACCTCCACCTCCTGGGTTCAAGCAATTCTCCTGCCTCAGCTTCCCAAGTAGCTGGGACTACAGGCGTGCACCACCACACCCGGCTCTTTTTTTTTTTTTTTTTTAATTTTTAGTAGAGATGGGGTTTCACCATGTTGGCCAGGGTGGTCTCAAACTCCTGACCTCAGGTGATCCACCCGCCTCAGCCTCCCAGAGTGCTGGAATTACAGGCGTGAGCCACCGCGCCCGGCTCAAGGATCCTATTTTATCACCTATCCATGGTTGTACAGGTGGAGACTGAGGAGAGCCTCTTCTGGTGTGGAGAATCTGCCATCTGTGACTATAAATATTTATAAAACTCTGCTTGCTGCAAGCAATTGGTTTGTGTAGGTTCCAGTTGTCCTGTTGGTCACAGATGAGCTGTCGATACCCGTCAGACCCCAAATAAATAAGTGGAAGTCTGTGAGCAAGTAAGTTCCAGCCTGATGAGCAAGGCCGCACACTGAGAACTCCAGACCGCCTTTTCTGGGTCTCCTGGGCAGTCGCCTAAAACAGAAGCTGACAAAGGGATTCATCCAGGGGAGTAACAGGGTCCCTAAGGACTGATTTCATCCCTTCCTGGGCAGCCTCCACTCCCATGTGGGCTTCTCGCTTTTCAATCACTGGATCTCCCTCTCATCATTGCATATGGAGTGGATTTGGGTGCCAAACATAACTGCAGTGAAAGTGAAAAACAGAAGACCCTCCAGGCACAGGAAGGTCAACAGGATTACAGTGAATGGAGGTGAAAAATCACTGCATTCAGTCCACTGCCTCAGACGCAGGTGATAAACTGAAATCCACAGAGAATCAGGGCATGGACTGAAGACGGAGCTATATACATAGTGAAGAGCTCAAAACATCTTTGATTCTTTTTTCCTACACAATTGTTCACCCACAGGCAGTGATGATCCATTTTCCTAATATGTCTTTTGCAAATACTGCTGTGGTGGGTGAGCTCTGGTTTGATACAGCAGCACTTGGGGGCACTTGTAGATCACTTCCCTGGGCTTCAGCTGCAAACTCTCCATGTATTCTTTTGTAGCATTTCCTCTGGGTACTGCCCCGGGGTCGGTGAGCATGGTTCTCAGGTGGGACAACAGGGCAAACGCGGCCAAGTAGTTAAAGATGACCCCATTGACCACAGAGTAAAGCCAGCAACATGATGAAAGTCACCACAAAGTCTGCATAGATGACCGGAAGCCATGTCACATCAGCACAGATCATGCCACAGTCGTCATGGATGAACCAGACCCTGTCTGCCACATCAACCTGAGAGGAGGATGACGAAGAGTCATCATTGTCATTTTCAGCCAGGAGAGGATGATGCTCCACGTCCCGTAGCCTGTGTCCTGATGGCTGCATGATTTCACTGACGCACCCTCCCAAGTTGTTTCTAAACATCACTTGAACATTTTGTGCCTCTTCTTCAGGATATTAAGGTGCATACTGTCCTATGTGATCAGATCTGAGGTCTGGGCGGGGTCGTCAGGTGAGACGGAGTCTTGCTCTGTTGCCCAGGCTTGAGTGCAGTGGCACGTTCTCGGCTCACTGCAACTTCTGCCTCCTGAGTTCAAACGATCCTCCTGCCTCAGCCTCCTGAGTAGCTGGAATTACAGGCGCACACCACCACGTCTGGCTAATTTTTATATTTTTAGTAGAGACAGGGTTTTGCCATGTTGGCCAGGCTGATCTCAAACTCCTGACAGGTGATCCTCGGCCTCCAGAAGTGCTGGGATTACAGGGGTGAGCCACCGTGCCTGGCCTGAAGGACTTCTTTTAACATTTTTTTGTAGTGAAGTTCTGCTGGCACTGAATTATTTTGGCTTTTCTTTGTCTGCAAAAAGTCTTTATTTTGCCTTCATTTTTGAAAGATATTTTCTTTTTCAAATTCTAGCATGTAGAATTCTACGTTGACAGTTTTGTTTTTTCTTTCAGTATTTAAAAGCACTGTTCAATTTTGTTTCAATTTGCATAATTTCTGATAAGCTTCTGTCCTCTGTTAATTTTATCCTTTTTCTTTCCCACATAATTAATATGTCTTTTTTCCTCTGGCTGCTTTTATGATTTTCTTTTTATCATTGATATTCAGTGATTTGATCATTATGTGAGTTTAAGACCTTACTGAGCTTTATGGATCTGTGGGGTTATAATTTCATCAAAGTTGGAAAAATGTTGGCCATTATTTCTACAATATCTAAAATTTCTAAATTTTTCTAAATTTCTAAATTTCTAACATTTTATAGAGAATTTTTTTTTTCTCTATTCCTCAGAATGTTGGCTATACCTATGTTAGACAAGTTTATATTTTCCCACAGATCATAGGAAGGGTCTCTGTTCACTTTTTTCCAGTGTTTTCTCCCTGGATTTTATTTTGGCCACTTCCTATTGCTATGTTTTCAATTTCATGGACCTCATTTTTCTTTAATGTCTAATCTGCCATCAGTTCCATCCATTTAGTCTTTTTAAAAAATGATATTGCATGTCTCTAGAAGTCCATATTTATAATGACTTTTTTCTTTTTTTTTTAGATGGAGTCTCGTTCTGTTGCCCAGGCTGGAGTGCAATGGCGCGATCTCCACTCACTGCAGCCTCCGCCTCCTGGTTCAAGCGATTCTCCTGCCTCGGCTTCCTGAGTAGCTGGGATTACAGGTGCACGCCCCCATACCTGGCTAGTTTTTGTATTTTTAGCAGAGAGGGGATTTCACCGTGTTGGTCAGACTGGTTTCGAACTCCTGACCTCGTGATCTGCCCACCTCGGCCTCCTGAAGTGCTGGGATTACAGGTGTGAGCCACCTCACCTGGCCAATGGCTTTTTAAAAATCCTCAGCTAGAGGATTGATGATGAGCTGGCATATATTCTGAATCTTAAGTTTATTATTACTACTTTAGCTCTAAAATTACTGTGATACCTAGAAAACAATAAATTTAAAAATGCTTGACTAAAGGCTTCAAGATGACTGACTAGAAGCATTTCATTCCTGCCTCTCCCACTTAGAAGAACAAAATAGTGTATAGACAGTGACACTTCAAATACATTACCCAAGAGTATTTGCTGGAATTCAACAGAGAAGTGACAGGAAACACCAAATGTGGAGAAGGAGAAAGGAGAGACACAGCCCGCTGGTCAGGATCAGCTGGGAGCCAGGAGTGACTTCCCAACATAGGTAAGTGAGAGATGGAGCAACCCACATCTCCTCTGTGGAATCTTGCAATCGTAGCCACAGGACAACCCTCAACCCTGCCAACCCCTGAAACTAACATAGGCAGCTGCTGTGAGACCATGGGACAGAACTGCCCCAGGGAGAGAGCTCGAACTGGGTCCCACGCCCTTCCTGAAAACTAAGCAGCTACAGCAAGGTGCCATTTTCAAACACAGACTTTGGGAAACTGCATGCTGTCCTGGGGCCCAGTGGCATCAGGACAGAAGCATTACGGAAATTTGGGCTATCATGGTTGGGACTGCAGAATGAGCTGAGAATACTCCTATGGCCAGGACTAAGAAGTGAGGCATGGGCTACAGCTGCTGGTGCCAGGAAGGAAGTACCACTGGAATGGAGACTGGGACGTGAACTAGGCACAAGTTGCCACTGGGGCTTGGTTGCCAGCTGGGTGGAGGTTCTTGCAGCTGTGGTGGGGGTGGTGCATAATAGAATAAGTGTGGGCTGCCACTGCCAGGTGTTGGGGGTAAGCCCTACCAGGACAAATGTATGGGAGGGATGCATGTTCCTCACCCACTGGCCCAGGCTGTGGGCCACTGAAGATGGCCATCTCCCAAGTCTCAGGCTCACAAAACCTGGGTGGGGACTGAAACTGGGAAACTGAGGCGGTTTCAGAGGATCACTGTCCCCTGCTTGTCCCTATTAACTCAACCTCACCTTCTACTGCAAATGGACCCTGCAGATCAGCAGCTCCACCCCCGACCATGACCTTGATCTCACCATGTTCTTTTAGTGGAAGACAACCACAAGTCAATGGTGTCAGGCCAACTTATAAAAACATCTAACAAGCAATATTCCATAAAAACCACTCGTGGGCCTGTTCTGTTTAATATATGGGGGACTGAAATGAAAACAACAAAATAGCCTCAGGTTTACAAGACTTCCCAAGATAGGTGGTCTCTGCATGTTTTCAGGAGATATATGGAAATGATTATGATCACTTGAAAAGAGCTCTTGTGGTACTAGAATGACATCCATAACTGACAAGTATGAAATGGAGTGTTTAGAGACATTAAAAAACAAACCAACCCATAGAGAGGGGAAGAGCTTCAGCAGTAGGGATATCAATGTGGTCTTAAGCGTAATGAAAAGCCAACATGCTACCCCGTAATAGAAACCAACGTAACAATGGGATGCCACAAGAAGAATATTGAGATAGAAAACATTTCGAAAATGAATTATTCACTCATGCAGTATTATATTCTGCTTTTGGTCCTACACTTTTTAGAGGATACAGAGAAAACTGCAGAAGACCCAGAAAAGCACATCACGGCAGCCTAAAAGTTCCACATCTTTCACTTGCAGAAAAGCCTTCAGATCTGTTTTTACTTAAAGAGAAGGTGGGTGACTTCAGCATAACCATTGAGAATAAAACCTGTTGAGAAATTATTTCTGCCTTGATGATTTTATCCACGTAAGGGATGAACAATGAGAAATATGCTTAGATTTATTGGGAAAGAGATAGGTCTGTGGTATTGTCACAAGGGTACACAGATACCCAGAATGACAGCTTAGGGAGGTGTCCCCATCGGTGGTGACCCTCAGGGGAGATCAGGAGGCCTTGTGTTTCAGCATGGCCTAGGCAGGTGGAAGGCAGGGGCTCCAAGATTCCGTGACATCGCCACCTTCTAATTCTCTTATAGTGATGGCAGACCATTACCTGACCCACTGGACACCACTTCCCTCACTCCCTTCAGAGTCTGAGCTACAGGCAGTGCCTTCTGCTCCAAGCTCTGGCACCTTAAACTTTGTTTTTGGCAGTTAAGGACTTTGAGGTGTTGGGTGTTGATCAAGTTTTCCTGAACAGTAAGTTAAGAATTTCAGTTATTTCAGGACAGTTAATCTCAGTCCTGACTAAACCTGTTTGATTTCACTAGGGTTTTTTTTTGTTGTTGTTATTTTTGAGACAGAGTCTTGCTCTGTCACTCAGGCTGGAGTCCGGTGGCATGATCCTGGCTCACTGCAACCTCTGCCTTCCGGGTTCAAGCGATTCTCCTGCCTCACCCTCCCAAGTAGCTGGGATTACAGGCATGCACCACCATGCCTGGCTAATTTTTGTATTTTTAGTAGAGATGGGGTTTCACCATATTGGTCAGGCTGGTCTTGAACTCCTGACCTCATGATTTCACTAGTTTTTAACCCATCTTGTGTTTGGGTTTCTTCTCCCGGTCCCTGGCTCTACATCTTCTGCCACAAACATCAGCATAGCAGAATCTGTCAGTCCTTTGTACAATGAGAGAGCAGAAATGAACATCCTAGAAATCAAGCAGGAATTGCGCTCACAGCTGAAAATGAGCGAACAGCAGTTCCAAGACCTCAAAGAGAAATTTCTTGTCTCTGAAGCTGTGCTTACTGTCTGGCCAACCAGTTACAGAAATGCAGTAAGTTCCATAGGTTCACTATCACCAAAGTGATGAATGATCACTGTCTTCTCTCTGAGCAACTAAATACTCTTTAGACCCGATTCATCTCTTCTCTTCATCAAAATAAACTTCATCCTTCCCCTACTCCCAGAAAGGTAGAAGTGGGTATTATATAAAACCACATTTTCCTGAGAATCGAAAAACTGGACACAAAGTGTTTAGCAACTTTTCTGTATTTGAAGTGGGGTGTAGGGTGGGATTAGAGTTAAAATCTCAGTTATTGATGCCTGATGCAAGCATAAAATTGCCTGATTTTCTCAGCAACAAGCTGAACCATTTTTTACCAGGATCCTTTCTGTACCATATAAAATCTTGCAGAATTTAATTTAAGCATCTGTTGAGGCCCATTAGGCAAAGCCTTGTGGTGTCCACACTGGGAGAAAGATGGTGATAGTTCATAGTCCCTACTTTCCAGGACCTTAACGAGGAGTCTGCTCTTAGTAGAACCTGTGGTATCCATAAGTGACAGCATCAGGAGCAGGGACGACCCTGCTGAGAGGGAAGTCCTGCTTCCCAGAGCAGAGGCTCTTATTCCTAACGAGGAAGAAAGAGAGTGCCCAAGACTCTGCTGAGGTAGCAGTGCAGTGTGGAGAGGGGGGACCCTGGGCTAGTCTCCTGGGCTCCAGTCCAAGTTGTTTATCTTCTCTTTGCCTCAGTCTCCTGATCTGTTAATAGGGTCCTATAATTCCTACCTCTGTAAATTGCTGCAATAAAGTACAGGACCTTGTTCTTTCAAATCCTCTAGAACAGTTCTTGGCACAGAGCAAAACCTATTTATTACTTCTTCATTCTACTATTCCTAATTTAGCAGATATTTTGTTAGCATTTGGGCGTATTTCCTTCAGGGACTTATGGTCTCAGGCCTCACATTGCACTTAATTGTATTCAGATATGATTTTTTTTTAAATCTTGGCAATATTTGTGCTTTAAATTCCCAATACGAGAGAACTATCAGTCCCATAGTTCTAGAGGCCTTCCCGAGGGTACAGTAAATCACTGCTTTATGTTCCAGCTCAGTGTTTTACAGGAGAGGCTGCAAAGTGGCCCAGGATTCAGAGTCACACCTTAGTGGATGTGAATTCTGACTCTGCCTCATTCCAGTTGAGTCATATTTTCTAGTTGTTTTATGTGCCTTTGAGTTTCTCTTTCCTCATCCGTAAATTGGGGCGTATCAGCTGCCTTGTATTTGGAAGGTTGGTAAAGATGTGGCGCTTCTGTTGAGGCCCAAAAGGCAAAGCTCTTGCTGGCTGCACTAGGAGAAGCGATGGTAGCACAGAGCATCTGCTTTAAAGAAACCTAAAGAGGAGGCTGCTCCTGCCAGACACTGTGGTACCTGTAAGTGACAGCAACAAGTGCTGCCGAGAGCCTGGTACTGGGGATCCTTGTGTTCTTGGAGTGGATCCTGACTTCTCGCCTGTATGCAGTGACATGTCCAACCTCCCACCGAGACAAGTGTGTCTTCTCAGAGTGTGAGGAGCACAAAGGCATCACAGAATCTGTGCTGGGGGAGAAGATGCAGTTCAAGGAGGAGAAGCTGGCAGAGAAGTCGACACAAGCTGAGGAGCTCAGGTGAGGGAGGCTCTGTGTGGTGGGGCAGGCAGGTGGAAGGTGTGTGAGTCTCTGATGGGGGCAGCTCAGCTGGAGAAATAAGAGCTAATCCGGGCCAGGAGAAGGGCAGGAATTTACATAGCAGGCACATGTCGTGCAAACATGTATACAACAATTAGAGAACAACAATACTAGTAAATTACGGGCTACAATTGTGACTCGAAACAAGTCATTATCAAGGCAAAACTTACATAACACAAAATTAACCAAAGGAAAGTGAACAACTCAGAAGCATTTAGTACATTCAAAACATTGTGTAATCACCATTACATTTTCTCTTTTTAAATGTTTTATTTTAATGTTTGTGGGTACATAGTAGGTGTATATATTTGTGGGGTGCATGAGATGCAATGAGTTATAATAACATCATGTAAAATTAGGAATCTATCCCTTCAAGCATTTGTTGTTCATGTTACAAAGAATCCAATTATACTCTTTTAATTATTTTTAAATGTACAATTAAATTATTAGCTATAGCCACACTGCTGTGCTATCAAATACTAGGTCTTACTCATTCTATTTTTTTTTGTATCCATTAACCATCTTCATATTTTCAACCCCACTACCCTTCCCCACCCCTGGTAACTATCCTTCTACTCTCTATCACCATGAGTTCAATTGTTTTGATTTTGAGATCCCACAAATAAGTGAGAACATGTGATGTTTGTCTTTCTGTAACTAGCTAATTTTACTTCACATAATGACCTCCAGTTCCATCTATGCTGCAGCAAATGAAAAAATAACATTCTTTTTTATGTCTGTATAGTACTCCATTGTAAATAAACACCATGTTTTCTTTATCCCTAGAATCACCTCCTGACTTACTGGCTTCACATTATTTCATTCAAAGAATCTTTTCTTCTTGACCCTGTCATTCTTGCATTCTTTCATCTCTCTGAATAACCTCAGCTGTACCTGGCCACATTTCTATGTGTGGCTTTGTGTCCAGTCACTGCGTAATGTACTATGTGCATTTTTACATGGAAATGTCTGCAACCAAAATGAGAAACTAAAGGGGCATCTTTCTGAAACAAATTTGGGAAGACAGCTAGTTTTATTTACAGAGGGAAAGGATGAATGGAATGCTGAGGAATCCTATAGGAGCTCTCTAATACAGAGGAAGCCTTTTATTAAAATTTTTTTTTCCTCTTTGCCAAAGGCATTTCACCAACATGTGCTAAAATTCTGCTTGGAGGACTCTTTGAGGATATTCTCAAAAAAAAATCTCTGTTGCAATTCTTTGAACTGATCACTGATCCCTCTCCACTCTTATATTTTCTCTACTATCCTACCTTAGGTGATACAAAGCCCTAGTTCACTCTCAGGCACTAGAGCTGACCCAGTTGAGGAAGTTACGGGAAGGGAGAGAGGCCTCCCTCTTTCTCAGTCAGCATCTCAAGGCCCTTCTCACTGATGATGACCCTGACAACCACCAGGGGCAGGACCTCCGAGAGCAGCTGGCTGAGGGGCGCAGGCTGGCAGAGTGCCTTGTCCGCAAGCTCAGCCCAGGTAAGGTAGTCACGGGCCCTGATGACGCAGAGTCCTAGGCTTATGAGAAGACTCCAGACCTCCACACCTGCACAATGACAATTTTATTAGTGGTCTTTCTTTCCACTAAACGTTAGTGCCATGACATGACCAGGACTTCTTGTGTAGGAAGAGAGATGGGAAAGTCAGGGGTTGGAGGTCACAGTATGGCAAAAGCCTCCTTCCTCCTTGATGGAACTGGTCTTTGGACCAAGAAGTAGCATCCATCAAGTTTTAAAGGACAGGAAGGAGGATGTGACAGGAGGCAGCTTGTGAAGAGTGAAGAGAGCCCTGGACTGAGAATGGAAGTTCCCAGACTCTATTCTCAGCACTGTCTTAGCAACTGTGGGCCAGCAATTTATCCTTCCTGGATGTCTGTGTCTAACTGGAAATGGGGACAAATTATCTCTTGCATGGTAGATCTAGCATTCAAATGTGGGAACACACATGAGTGTATTTCAAAATAAGACAAAGTTCCTCACTGTGTGATGTTAGATAAGGTAGTTGATGTAGTAGCATGTGGTGTTAGGAAAGTTATTAAGACTGGAACACTCTTGGTAGAGAGAATTTCCTGGGACAACACAGCAGAAGCCACTTGGAGGGTCTGTGAAGTTTCCTAACGAATGGAAGGGTGGGGGACAGGGTTGGTTGTCCTCTCCTAAAAGAAAGAAACAGGTTTTATTGAGAGCTGTGAGGGGACAAAGAGACTGTTCCTGGGAATCAGATTTGTGTCCAGATGGGGGAGACAGCTGCCAAAGTCCAGAGAGAAGCTGGGCCAAGCCTCTAGTGATACGGTGGGAAAAGGTATTTTTAATTTTGGCCCATGTCACGATGGTGACTCTCCAGATCAGAAACACATTGTCTGATGGATCAGGAAACCACACCAGGGCAGAAAACATGAGAGGTAAAGACAAAACATGAGAGCCTTCAGTGCAACACTGACTTGTACATAGATGTTCATGTCTCTGTTCATGTCTCTGTGGTCACATGGCTCACTGTGTTTGCAGTGGGTGAAGTGGGAAATATCCAAATGGACACTACTGCATTAGTTTTCAGAAAATGATAAAGTTGAGGATGAAAATGTCAAAGATGAGAAGGTTGAAAAAGTCGGAGAACCACTTGCCCCCAGGTAACAATGAACAATCAGGAGCTGGTAATGGATAGGTAAAATATGGAAAAGGCCTCAGAAAGAACACAAGGGAGGTGAAAGTAGTCATGGATTCCAGATGCAAGGACGAACAAAACTGCAGATTGTAGTAATTTAGCGCACTCATTCAATAATAAAATAGCCCCCTTAACATGGTTATCTGTTTTCTTTGTGGTACCTGTAAGCATGACCTGAGGTGAACTTACCAGCCTTAGGGATTTCCTGCACACACTGACTAGAACTGTTCTCTTCTGCAATGAAAACTAGAAGAAAGGTCAGGTGCCATGGCCTATGCCTGTAATCCCAGCACTTTAGGAGGCCGAGGCGGGTGGATCATGAGGTCAGGAGATCGAGACCATCCTGGCTAACATGGTGAAACCCCGTCTCTACTAAAAATACAAAAAATTAGTCCGGCATGGTGGCGGGTGCCTGTAGTCCCAGCTACTCGGTAGGCTGAGGCAGGAGAATGGCGTGAACCTGGGAGGCGAAGCTTGCAGTGAGTCGAGATCCCGCTGCACTCCAGCCTGGGCAACAGAGCGGGACTCCGTCTCAAAAAAGAAAAAGAAAACTAGAGGAAGATGTTTATTTGCTTCCTACGCAGTTGTCATTTAGGTTCTTGTTAGGTAAGATAAATAGCAAAGAGTTAACAAGGAGAGGATTTAGGAAGTAACTAGCAAAGTTGCACACCAAGAAAAGTACCTAGACCAAAAGTACTCACTTTTCATTTCACAATATTAGAATATTAGAAGAAGAAGACCTAGAAGGCACACAATCTTTGGAGTGGCTCAGCCTGTATTCCCTTGGTAAGAGTATGTTAAATTCAACCCAACTTAGCCACATGGTGTAGCAGCTGTTAGGGTTCTCCGTGTGTGCTGTATATCACATCTGCACCATACAGGGATAGCTGAGTCTCCTCCCTCCTCAGATCCTATCTGCTCAGTGCAAAGAGCACCAGCTGCTCTCTTCTTCTCTGGCCCCCATGGCAGCCACACTCGGTTGCAGACAGAGGGAGGATTGCCTATTCCCTCTAAAAGGGAACCACCCCTGCTTTCTGGGACTACTCTTTTTTTTTTTTTTTTTTTTTTTTTGATGCAGTCTCACTCCGTCGCCTAGGCTGGAGTGCAGTGGCGTGAGGGACTACTCTTTTTTTTTTTTTTTTTTTTTTTGATGCAGTCTCACTCCGTCGCCTAGGCTGGAGTGCAGTGGCGTGATCTCGGTTCACTGCAACCTCCGCCTCCCGGGTTCATGCCATTCTCCTGCCTCAGCCTTCCGAGTAGCTGGGATGACAGGCACTCGCCACTACACCCGGCTAATTTTTCATATTTTTAGTAGAGACGGGGTTTCACCATGTTAGCCAGGATGGTCTCGATCTCCTGACCTCATGATCTGCCTGCCTCGGCCTCCCAAAGTGCTGGGATTACAGGCGTGAGCCACCATGCCCAGCCAGGACCACTCTCTTATGCCTCCTGTCAAAACTCTCTAAAACTCCCTGGGGTCGAATCCCTCTTGGTTTAATCTTCTGTCACCTCTGTCATCTCTATCCCACCTGGCTCATCAGGGAGGTACAGGAAGCTGAAGAAAAGGAAGTCCCTCAGAATTCACTGGAGGAATATTCTGCCACTTGTTCAGTTTGCCGTGACCCTTCTGACTCCCCCCTGCCTCAGAGGTGTGCCAAAATCACACCTGAGGAAGAGAAAGTCGACTCTGCTCTGGATGTAGGCAGTGAATCGCCACATTACAAAGGGGAAGAGGAAGTGCTAAACATTCTCCCAGGTAGCCTCTATATTCTTCGTCCTTTGTACCTCTGCCTAGGCTGAGAAAGTTCAACTCTGAGGACAGGGCCTATAGATACATATTGGTTTGAATCAGGAAGTAGGATTAAATATTAAACACAAATATCAGGTGGGTTAGGGGGCTTCCCTCTCCTCCTCAGCCCGTGCCATACTTCAGTCTCCCTGGCCCCAGTATCAGGTTATTGGGTCCCACGCAGGTGTGATAAACTCATACCCACCTGTGTACAGGAGGTATACAGGAGGCACCCGTCAGACCTCCTATCTTGGATCCAATGCCTCTTGTCCCCTGCAGTGATGTAATTTGTGACCCTGAAAAACGTCCATGGAGTTTCTATACCTATTCAAGGCCATTGGCAGCCTTTCCTATAGATTTGGAGACGTTGTTACCCTGGGTTCACTGCTCTCAGGCCCAGTCTCTATCTCCTTTAAGTGGGCTTATGTTAGCTTAGCAGTTACCTCGAAACCAGGACATAAACACTTCTATCTTTACCTTGCTTATAAGTTTCCATAAAGCAAGGCTGGGCCCTGAGTTCTCCATTCTACTCATGGGCAGTGTTTCTGTGTAACATCGCAGAATCTCTTTTATGCAAGGGTTTTTAGAATATATCCATCAGTTCAGTCTTGTGTGTAAACTCCTCTAAATATTCAACAACAATGACATCTGATGAGACAAGACAGTATCACAGCAACACTTCTAGAAATTAGGCCAGTTTCTAAGATCTTGGGGAAAAAGTTTTGTTTAACTCTTTAACAGGCTTAGGTCAGAGGATATGGAATTATGATGTACCAGAAGAGGAAGATTCGGCCCCACGGACCTGGAAAGCAGGCCCATCTACTTCTCCTAAGACTTAACCTAGGGCATCCTAGACACTTTCTGTGAGAATACCATATTCTGATGCTGAGAATGTTTATGTCCTTGTGCTATGATTGGACACTGATTTGGTCATGTGTGGAGTATAATTTGCTTAATGTGACCCGCTTATTTGCAGAAAATCAAAATGATAATGAAGAAGAGGAAAGGAAACAGCCAGTGTCTCCCAGGTAACTCTGATTTGTGGGGTGTTAGTTCAATAGTGACATCTGGAGACTGAAGACCCAGTGAAAAATAGGAAATGATGAATAGAAGTTTTTAATTTTTTTTTTATTTTTTGAGTTGGAGTCTCGCTCTGTCACCCAGGCTGAAGTGCAGTGCGTGATCTCAGCTCCCTGCAACCTCCGCCTCCCAGGTTCAAGTGATTCTCTTGTCTCAGCCTCCCAAGTAGCTAGGATTACAGGCACCTGCCACCACGCCTGGCTAATTTTTTATATTTTTAGTAGAGATGGGGTTTCATCATGTTGGCCAAAATGATCTCGATCTGACCTCCTGATCTGCCCACCTTGGCCGCTCAAAATGCTGTGATTACAGGCGTAAGCTACCGTGCCTGGCCGAATAGAAATATTTTATCCATTTGGTCATGTACGAATTATTCTTTTGAACAAGGTTTTTTTTTTTATTTTATTACTGTGGTACTCATATAGATTTCAATTTCTTTCTTTCTTTCTTTCTTTTTTTTTGACAGAGTCTCACTCAGTCATCCAGGTAGAGTGCAGTGGTGCAATCATGGCTCACTGCAGCTTCGACCTCCCTGGCTCAAGTGATCTTCCTGCCTCAGCCTGGTTTCAATTGCTTAATCTCTCTCAAGCATAGTAATCTACAATCAGTTGACCCAAGTGAACTCACCAAACTCATGGATTTCCTGATATCACCTGTCCTCTTCCATGTGGTTAAATCCAGGGTGAGATAACTGTTTGGTGTCAGCGTGTTGGCAAGTATTTGAACACAAGAGAAGAAACTTGAAAAAAAACAAAACAACTCCACATTATGTCAAAATATGAGAGTTTTGTTTCTCTTTTCCCATGAGTTTCTAATCTGGGCAATTCACCGAACACACGCTATCTCTGTCTCTCTCTATCTTTCTCTCTCTCTCAACATCTGATGGCAGCCACACTCTGTCCCACCATGAAGAGAATAATTTGTACCTTTTATTGGGTCAGCCCCTTTGCTTTCTGCAACCGTTGCCTTATGCCTTCCATCAAATCCATCTAGGAGTCTATGGTCCCCAGCCCCCTTGGATTAACCTCAGACCTTCAGTTTAACCTATCCCACGAGTCTCAGCAGGGAGATGCCACAGGTGGCAGAGCAGGAAGTCCCCTGAAAGTTTTGGGATGGATGTTGTTTGACTTCTTTGATTCCTGCTGACCTGTCTGGCTCCCATCTGTCTTACAGAAGCACCTTGTACTCATTTGAGGACCAGCAAGTCCGCTTGGCTCCTGATGAGGGAGGAGTGCTCCACTGTGAATGTGATAAACATCCAAATGATGTCTCAGGTAGACCTCATAATCCTTGCACCCTGAGCCCCAGCGTGGGCTTAGAGAGTCATCAATGTGCCCAGGAATCATAGACATGAGTTGTTTTGAATCAGATTCTAGAGTTGAATTTGAAACACTGACATGGGTTGGGTCAGTGAGCTCTGCTCTATTCCTTGTCTCGGGCCATGCCTGTGTCATCTTGGGCCCACTGTCAGGATATTGGACCCAAAACAGATGTGACAAATTCACACCAACCTGTGCAGCATATTTCCAAGAAGTGTCTGTGAGATGTCTTAATTTGAATAACATTTATCTTGCCAGCTATTATTGTGTTCCTTATAAATTTCTTTTCCCAACCATGTCCCTTGAAGTTCTATGACTACCCAAGGTCAGTGGCATCTTTGTCTACCTTTCTGTGGAAGATGGCACCAAGGTTTCATTGAACCCAGGCCCACTCTCTGTCTTTGATGTTGGCTTGCTGTAGCTAAGCGGGCCATTGCCTTGCTGGCATGTTTCTGGAAGCAAGACTGAGCACTGTCACTCCTAGATGCCCAAATAGCCAATGTTACCATGTAGCTTCAGAGATTAATTTTGATTCAAGGGTCTGTAGATTCCCTCCACCCTTCCAATTTCAGTGTTTAAAATGCTCTAAGCTGTGAACAATCTGGATATTTGATGAGAGAAGGCTAAATATTGCAGTTTCCTTTCTAGAAAACATCTGGGGGTATTTGCTTTGAATTGGTATGAAAAAATATTGCTTACCTGTTTTCACAGTCTCAGGACAGATCATATTGAGATAATGGTCTACAAGAATAGGGAGATTTCACCCCTAGGCTCAGGGAAACCCAAGACATTTCTATCCTGACAGGACCTCAGGCCTCCCGAAATATTTCTCTCACAGTGTCCTCTTCTCCCACTGAGGAGACTGATGGCTCTGTGTTAGGATTGGATGGTGGATTATTCATGGGTGTAGGAGAATCTGCTTAATTTGTCTCTCCCTGTCTGAAATTATTTACAGAACTTAAACATAACAAAGAGGAGGTCCAAGACCCATCATGCCCCAGGTAACTCTAAGGAATTGAAGACAGTTAATTCAGTGTGGACATCTGGAGATTCCAGATGCAGGAAAAAACAGAACGTGCTGAATGTTTGTTCCATCTATTCAGCCAATCATGAAATATTTATGTTATTAGCATTGCCTGTTTTCATTGTATACTGTATTTATATTATCCCCTCTTATTGATTCCTCTCAATTGTACTAACCTGTCTTCAGTTGACTCAGTTGAACTGATCTATTACAGGTGTTTTCTGCAGTCCCCTTTTCTATTCTTATTGCTTAATGTGAATTGGAGATGCACATCTGATGGCTGTGTCTTGGTGTTACCATGTATGCAAGTGTATGATAGCATGAAAGTGAATGAAAAACTTCATATCATGCTACGATATTGAGAAAAAGAGATGGTGAAGATACAATATCGCTAAGATTCTAGGAAGACTCAAGAGCCCGTGTTCATGTTGCCACTGCATGCTGCTTTCAACACAATTTATGCAAAAGTGCTGAATGCACCTTGATGTCCCTCCGTGTGCACTATGTGTCATGGCCATTTCGTACAGGGATCATTCCATCTCGTTCGTCCTCAGCTCATTGTCTGCCCAGTGCACCGAGCCTCTGCTGCTCTCTCTCTTCTGCCCCATATGGGGAAGGATTTTCTGTTTCTCTGAGGGGCCTGCCCTTTCCTTTCTCTGGCCTTTCCTGGAGGCCTCCCTTTAGTCAGTTGGGCACTGTGGTTTTGGTTCCCTCTGGTGTTTATCTTCAATCTTCTCCACCCTCCAGGCTCAGCAGGCAGTTCCTGGAGGTAGAAGAGTGGGATGTTTCAGAAGACTCACTGGATGAAGGTTACTTGACTCCTTCAATTGAACATAACCTGTCTGACTGCCACCAGCCTTATAGGAGCATCTTGTGCTCATTGGAGGAACAGCTCGCCTGCTCTGCTCTGGATGTAGCCTATGAGTACTCCACCCTGAAGGTCATAAAGTTCCACTGGTCTCCCTCCCAGGCAACTTCTATATATTTTTGTTTCTGCAATTTGTACAGGCTGAGACATGACATTCCTGTACTTAGATTGTTTTGAGCCTGGCTCTTGGATCTAGTTTTAAACACAGACATCCAATGGGTGGAACTTTCCTCTCCTCTTGTCTTAGGTGACTCCTGTGTCACCCAGCTCCTTCTCACAAGAGTGGATTGTGGGCATCAAGACAGGCTGGTGTGGAGAATGGTAAGGTGCAACTGTAAATGCTTGGCTACCAATAGCTCAGCTGAAGACTTCTTTTAAAAAATGTTTTTAATTTTTTAAAATTTATTTTACTTTAAGTTCCAGGATACATGTGCGGAATGTGCAGGTTTGTTACATAGGTACAGGTGTGCCACGGTGGTTTGCTGCATCTATTGATCCGTCCTTTATGTTCTCTCCCCTCCCCTCCCCCGCCACCCCACAATAAGCCCTAGTGTGTGTTGTTCCCCTCCCTGTGTCCATATGTTCTCATTGTTTGACTCCCACTTATGAGTCAGAACATGTGGTATTTGGTTTTCTGTTCCTGTGTTAGTTTGCTGAGGATGATGGCTTCCAGCTTCATCCATGTCCCTGCAAAGGACATGATCTTATTCCTTTTTATGGCCACAAAGTATTCCATGGTGTATATGTACCACATTTTCTTTATTCAGTATCATTGATGGCCATTTGGGTTGGTTCCATGACTTTTCTATTGTAAATAGTGTGGCAATAAACATACACATGCATGTGTCTTTACAGTAGAATGATTTATATTCCTTTGGGTATATACCCAGTAATGGGATTGCTGGGTCAAATCGTATTTCTTATTCTAGATCCTTGAGGAATTGCCATACTGTCTTCCAGAATAATTGAACTAATTTACATTCCCACCAGCAGTGTAAAAGCATTCCTATTTCTCACAACCTTGCCAGCATCTATTGTTTCTTGACTTTTTAATAATCGCCATTCTGACTGGCGTGAGATGGTATCTCATTGTGGTTTTGATTGAATTATTCTATGAGCTTTTTTTCCTATGTTTTTTGGCCACATAAATGTCTTCTTTTGAGAAGAGTCTATTCATATCCTTTGCTCACTTTTTGATGGGGATGCTTGTTTTTTTCCTGTAACTTCGTTTAAGTTCCTGGTAAATTCTGGATATTAGACCTTTGTCAGATGAGTAGATTGCAAAAATTTTCTCCCATTCTGTAGGTTCACTCTGATGATAGTTCCTTGTGCTGTGTAGAAGTTCTTTAATTAGATCCCATTTGTCAATTTTGGCTTTTGTTGCAATTGCTTTTAGTGTATTCATCATGAAGACTTGGCCCATGCCTATGTCTTGAATGGTATTGCCTAGGTTTTCTTCTAGGGTTTTTATGGTTTTGGGTTTTACATTTAAGTCTTTAATCCAGCCTGAGTTAATTTTTGTATAAGGTGTAAGGAAGGGGTTGAGTTTCAGTTTTCTGCATATGGCTAGCTAGTTTTCCCAGCACCATTTGTTGAATAAGAGATCCTTTCCCCATTGCCTATTTATGTCAGGTTTGTCGAAGATCAGATGGTTGTAGATGTGTGGTATTATTTCTGAGGTCTCTGTTCTGTTCCATTGGTCTATATGTCTGTTTTGGTACTAGTACCGTGTTGTTTTGGCTACTGTAGCCTTGTAGTATAGTTTGAAGTCAGGTAGTGTGATGCCTCCAGCTTTGTTTCTTTTTGCTTAGAATTGTAGCTGAAAACATTATTATGATAAGACATCTTTCTTTGATGAAAGTATGTTGCTAGTTGCATTTCCTGAACAGCGCCCCTCACTTTTCTCTGGTCGTCCACTTGTGCTGGCAGTTTTGCCCAATTATTTTGGAGATCTGTTTTCATGATTCCTATGTCCCAGGCCAGTTTCTTGACTTCCTCTGAGGTGGCTGCCCTCCATCTGAAGCAGACTAGTGTCCCATCCTCCATGCATGGCCACAGCTTTCATTCTCTGTAGAGCACCAGTGACTTTTTCCATGTGTGGGTTTGTAATTTCAATCATGTGTCTGGTCTCAGTGTCATAAGGTCATGTAAACCATCAACAACCACTGTCCATGATGAGGTGGTAGCCTAGCTGAAGAGCAAAGCCCAGTGGTTCCTATCCCCATGATCTCCAGAAGATCCTTCCTGTTGAGTGGCTGTCCCATGGGGCAGCAGCTTCAGAGGGTGTGTGGAGAAAAAATCCAATTTTCATTTCTTCTCACTCATTTCATTTTTTGGACTTCTGGGAGTTGCATCTGGATTGTAGGGCATTTTACCTATCAAATCATCTTGTAGTGGGAGCAAATAACTCTTTGATGCCCTCCAGTATATTTCAGTATGTTGTAATGAAAAAATCAGTTAAAACATTTGTCCTCCATCCTCTTTTGGTGGGTAAGGGTCTTTTGTGCTAGGATAATTCTGTTTTCTGTTTCTCCTTGAGGTTCAAAGAAGCAAAGGCTTTTCCCAGGATCATAGGGATTCATGAAATGGGTGAAATACACATTTACCTTGCCTCTGTCATGTGCCATGGCCCTTGCCAAGCAAGCTCTGTGTATGCTTGTCTCTGGTCCATTCAGTGTTCAAAGGACGCCACACTCTCTCTAGTGGCAAGGCCTGTACATGGATGCTACTGTCCCTTACCCAAGCCTTGAATCTGAGAATAGCCCTGCCCCCATCCACACACAGCTGGTGCCCGCTCTCACCATTTCAGGGTCTGAGCCCAAGCCCACTCATCCTGGCTTAGCCTTTCCTCTCAAGACAGAGCACATGGCCCAGAGACCTGTGGATTGCCTAACCCAATCCACCTGCTTGGACACTGGATCACTCTTCCTGGGGGCCTGATGTTGGGCCTAAACTCCCAGCCACTACCACCTCAGCCAGCAACTACCTGCAAGAATCACCTGGGGGCCTGAAGACTGGCCCACCCAGCCCACTGCACTCACTGCCAGCATCAGTGCACACTGCTCAGGACGCAGACAAGCATCTTGCCACTGCTACTGCCATTGCCCATGCCATGCCAACTGCCCAGGAGCTCAAGAACCCACCCACCCATCCAGCCCACTGCTTCCATTACCTGCATTTGAGCAAGTCAGTTGGAGGCTCAAGAATTGCCCCCCTGGTAACTGCTAAAACAGGTGCCAGTATATACTGCTCTGGGGCACAAAGATAGGCATGCTGACCAGGTTTGGTGTCTCAAGTCTGTAATCCCAGTGCTTTGGGAGGCTGAGATGGGAGGAGAACTTGCAGCCAGGAGTTTGAGACCAATCTGGACAACAAAGTGAGACCCCGTTATACAAAAATTTATTTTGAAAATTAGCCAGGTGTGGTAGTGCACATCTATAGTCTTAGCTACTTGGGATGCTGAGGTGGAAAGACTGCTTGAGTCCAGGATTTTGAGGATGCAGTGAGCTATGACTGCACCATTGCACTCCAGCCTGGGTGACAAAAACCCTGCTTCTAAAAAAAGATAGGCATGCTCAGTCCACCACTGCCACCACTGGGGCCTGAAGACTGGCCCACCTGGCATCCCACTCCCCATCAAAACTTCACCACAGCTTTCACTAATAACCACACCCTATGTTACTGAAGAAGTCACAGATACCAGTGGCACTGTTTATAGCCAAGAAAATCAGACAAGGACTACACTACTGCGTGCACCCAGAATGAAAGCCAAAGTACCCTACCCAGCAAAACTGTAGATATGTATTCAGGAAAAAGTCCTCCCATATGAAAGTAAATTCAAATATAGGAAGAAGTGACTATTAGAACAGATGCACAGATGTCAATATAAGGAGACAGGAAACACAACAAAGCAAGGAAATATGACACTTTCAAAGGAATACAATAATTCTCCAGTAATAGACCTTAATCAAAAATAAATTTTTGAAATCTCAGATAAAGAATTTAAAATATTTGTTATAAAGCTCAGTGAGATACAAGATAATTCTGAATAATAATACAAAGAAATCAGAAAAACAATTCAGCAGAATGAGACAGTTACCAAAGAGATAGATATTTTGAAAAATAATCATACAGAAATTCTGGAAATGAAAAATAAATTGAAGGAAATACAAAATACATTTGAAAGCTTCAACAATAGCCTAAATCAGAGAGAATATCAGAACTTGAAAAGAGGTCTTGTGAAATAATCCAGTCAGACAAAAATAAAGAAGAATTTTTAAAAATGAGCAAAGCCTTTATGACATTTGAGACAACATAAAATGATCAAATATTTGAATTATAGGTGTCTCCAAGGAAGAAGAGACAAAGAAAGAACTAGAAAACCTATTTAATGAAACAATAAATGAAAACTTCCTGTATTAGTCAGGGTTCTCTAAAGGGACAGAACTAATGGGATAAGTGTATATATGAAGGGGAGTTTATTAATTATTATTGTGTATTGACTCACACAATCACAAGATGAAGTCCCACAATAGGCCATCTGCAAGCCAAGGGGCAAGGAAGCCATTTTGAGTCCCAAAACCTCACAAGCAGGGAAGCCAACAGTGCAGCTTTCAGTATGTGGCCAAAGGCCCGAGAGCCCTTGGCAAACCACTGGTATAAGTCCAACAGTCCAAAATCTAAGGAATTTGGAGTCTGATGTTCAAGGACAGGAAGCATCCAGCATGGGAGAAAGATGAAGTGTCAAGTTGACAGTCAGTATTAACCATCACACTTCCCAAGTGTACCAAGATATTTAGACATTCAGATACAGGAGTCTCAGTGATTCTCAGGGAGATACAATGTAAAAAGGTCTTGTATTAGTCCATCCTCACACTGCTATGAAAAATACCCAAGACTAGGTAATTTATAAAGAAAAGAGGTTTAATTGACTCACAGTTCCCCTAAGGCAGGGGAGGCCTTAGGAAACTTACAATCATGACAGAAGGCACCTCTTCACTGGGCAGCAGGAGAGAGAATAAGCACTGAGTGAATCCTCTTATAATACCATCAGACCTCATGAGAACTCACTATCATTAGAACAGCATGGGGAAATTGCCCCCATGATTTAATTATCTCCACCTGGTCTTGCCCTTGACACATGGGGATTATTATAACTCAAAATTGAAAAAAAAATAGTTACTTCCTAGATATAATGGAAGTACAGGCATTGGGTAAATATACCTGTTCCAAAGGGGAGACATTGGCCAAAACAAAGAGGCCACAGCCCCCATGCAAGATTTGGGTGGCAACACAGCCAAGCCACATCATTCCACCCCTGGCACCTCCCAAATCTCATGTCCTCACATTTCAAAACACAATCATTCTCTTCCAGCAGTCCCCCAAAGTCTGAACTTACTTCAGCATTAACCTAGAAGTACAGGTCCAAAGTCTCATCTGAG